AGATGTTATTAAATTTTTGTACATGAACGTGCACATGTTACCTTTATCTTACTCCCACACTCATCCCCACCTTGTATAGGCACCTCAACCTCTCACACCTGAAAGTTCTTCGTCGCGTCAACATGGTAGACTGTGTGTCAGGCACATCATAGACCCTCGAGTCGTCTACCTGTGAAGCCACATTGGTTGTTCCTATGAGTTCCTGGAGGCCAGCTCACTCTAGTTCAAAAACATGCGAGGCGCAGCGCAGGCAACAGTCATAGCTGAAGATCCTACAACACTCACCCTAGGAAACAACACACCTTAGGAAGCAACACACACCCCTAGAAAGCAACACAACCAAGAAACGAAGCTTTCGTATTCCTTTACCTACTTCCTACATATTCTTCATAAGGAACAAAGTTAAACATAAAAGGAAAGTTAGACAAACTATACATTCCAAATGACTACGATGCACATGACAACAAAATAATTGCAACAACAATAAACAGTTTTGGGAGTATAAGCCTTAAGCTGGGCGTGGGAGGTGAGGAAGAGGCTGTGGTTGACCTCTGACATACTGCACCTGGTAGGCCAGCACGGTGACCTCTGACATACTGCACCTGGTAGGCCAGCACGGTGACCTCTGACATACTGCACCTGGTAGGCCAGCACGGTGACCTCTGACATACTGCACCTGGTAGGCCAGCACGGTGACCTCTGACATACTGCACCTGGTAGGCCAGCACGGTGACCTCTGACATACTGCACCTGGTAGGCCAGCACGGTGACCTCTGACATACTGCACCTGGTAGGCCAGCACGGTGACCTCTGACATACTGCACCTGGTAGGCCAGCACGGTGACCTCTGACATACTACACCTGGTAGGCCAGCACGGTGACCTCTGACATACTGCACCTGGTAGGCCAGCACGGTGACCTCTGACATACTGCACCTGGTAGGCCAGCACGGTGACCTCTGACATACTGCACCTGGTAGGCCAGCACGGTGACCTCTGACATACTGCACCTGGTAGGCCAGCACGGTGACCTCTGACATACTGCACCTGGTAGGCCAGCACGGTGACCTCTGACATACTGCACCTGGTAGGCCAGCACGGTGACCTCTGACATACTGCACCTGGTAGGCCAGCACGGTGACCTCTGACATACTGCACCTGGTAGGCCAGCACGGTGACCTCTGGCATACTGCACCTGGTAGGCCAGCACGGTGACCTCTGACATACTGCACCTGGTAGGCCAGCACGGTGACCTCTGACATACTGCACCTGGTAGGCCAGCACGGTGACCTCTGACATACTGCACCTGGTAGGCCAGCACGGTGACCTCTGACATAACGCGCCTAAAGGAAAAAAACACTAAAAACAGAAGCTGTCCCAACCAGACATATAAGCGGCTCCGGACTGCACGACTTCTCCTGCAACAGAATAGGTTGCAGGAGAAGGGTGGCAGGGCTCCTACTCTCAACACTCACTGACTCCTAAAATATGAGCTCTCTCTCTCTCTCTCTCTCTCTCTCTCTCTCTCTCTCTCTCTCTCTCTCTCTCTCTCTCTCTCTCTCTAACGTTTCTTCATCTGTTCATTTCTCCTTCCTTAAGTGGCACGAGTGTGTGGCCCAGAAGAGCCACATGCCAGACACGTGTCGTACTACAGGTGCATTACGAATTACAGGAAATTATTCCCACTTGGCCTGGCGCGGCCGGCCACGCTCGTCAGGGGAGACGAGGCAAATGTGGCGACAGAAAGTGTGTGTGGAGGGAAGAGTGTCAGTGAAATGAGCTGCTTTTATTGCAGAACACAACCAGAACCAGTATCACAGTCACAATACATGGCTGAAGATGCATGCCCCATACGCCAGATGCTCGATATGAATGAGTCACACGAATTGCAAATCAAACTGACAGGTCTATTCCTCCCCCCCCCCCCGTCCCATCCTAAATCCTTATCCTGATCCCAAGTGCTAAATAGTCGTAATGACTTGGCGCTTTCTCTTGATAGTTCCCTTCACCGTTGGAATGAGTGATCATAGTGTATTGTCGTTAGAGTATTTAGTGGAAATAGTAATTACCTACTGATGGCAGGAACTAGGAAACAACAAACATACCGAAGGGGAAATTATGAAGGGTTATGATGATGTTACTTTGTTACACATCGCCAGCACTGGTTCGAAACACTTATTTTCGTGAAAGGAAACATTAGAACAACAGAAGTACACTTACATCGCATCAGGCTTGGATACCCATGTGCATGGGAAATAGGCTTACAGGTTCCGGAAGATGAGAGGAAATGTCAGCACTGTGAAGAAATGCCCGACAGACCACTGGAACATTATCTAACACAGTGCACAGTTACAAACACAATAAGATTTCAACTTAGATTCAACAGAGCAGCAGAAGTTGTTAAACACATGGGACATAATCTTACTGAGGCGACCATACGAGTCATAAATACTCATACTCCGCCTAAGTAAAACAAAAACAAGCAACACTTAGTGGACCAGCCAGAGGCTTAGGGCCCGCGCAGGAATATCCCTGAAAAAAACACTGGTCCAAGGATAGTAAATCTTGCCTCACAGATTAAATCGAATTTTATTACCAGGCAACAAAAATTACACAAGACAGAGAAGGATGTGCCATCGCATATTTTTGGATTGTCTTTGACACACTACACCATAAGAAACGTGCGTAAGTCCGAGAAGCAAGCAGGAGTGACAGGTAAGGTGCGCCAGTGGATAAAGGAGTACCTAAGCAACAGAAGAGAGCGAGTTACTGTGAGGCGTGAGATCTCAAAGCGGCGTGATGTCACTGGTAATCTTACTGGGTTCAGTACTAGGAATTATCATGTTTCCCATATATGTAAATATTCCTTCTGAGTGAATACCCTCTTTCCTCTCAATGTTTGCTGATGATGCAAAGAATTAGCAGGAGGATTAAGACAAAGGAAGGTAACAAGATGTTACGAGATGACAAACTGAGTGAATGATCTAACAAGTGGCTACTTAAGTTTAACTCGAGTAAGTGCAAAATAATGGAGCCTAGTATTAAATGGGAGCCAAAGATAAACACAGCATCTAACGGATGACATCGAGATAATCCATTATAAAATAAGCACCATTCCTAACCGCCGTCCCATCCCCAAATCCTTATCCTGATCCCTTCCAAGTGCTATATAGTATTAATAGCTTAGCGCTTTCTCCTCATAGTTCCCCCCTCCCACATAACAAAAATAGCCCCCCCCACAAGCAACATAGTACCCCCTTCACAAAGGGGTACAAATAAAAAAAGCAGATCTCTGAGGTTCTCTAAAGTCTACTACCAAGACATACTGGACAAGATTCATGGTGGGTGGGGAGTGAGGGGGTGGGGAGTTTTTTATTGATTTATTTAATAATAAATTTAGGTACACCTACATTTTATGCAGCAACCGAGATAACATGAAGGGTCGGCCACCAACCTTGGCTTAAACACTCTTGGCACAACAAACTCCAGATTTCAGTTACTCCGGTAAAATGTCTAAGAAGCAATACGCCGACATTGAGATGAGAGAGACGCACTCATCCCGCACCAGAGCCACAAACCACAGTTTTCCAATAAGACCATTAATAGTGCCATTAATGGTGCCATCACCGCTTGTGTCTGAATGTCTGGAGTTACTTCACTCAAGTATTGGGGGAGAGTGAAACCTTCTCTGCCCCTTCCACATTTATTGCCTTCCCTCCCAACTGCACTCTTCCCCTTCTCTCATCTTTCCACCCCTCTCTTGCCTCATCTCCACACCCGTTCCGTATAAATACCTCCCATCCAAACCACCTCCCCTCCATGCCCCCCCCCCCCTTATCTCCTGCCCCTCACCCCCCCCCCCCCCCGCCCTCCACAAACATCCTCTCATCACAGAACTAAACAAATTAGCACCTACCAGGCCGACTAAGCTCCGCCGCTCCCAGACAGGCACCCCCACCACACCTGGGACTCGCTAGTAACAAGCGGACGTATCGCCATCGAGTGTATGCATAGCGATCGACTGGATAGAGGAGAACAGCGAGAGCAGCAGCGGGGCCGACAGCAGGCCGCGGGCGATGCGGTCAAGCTGAACTGCGATATCCTCCCTGCGGCCACCTGGCCTGGAGTGTGTCCGCGCGTCCGAGGAGGTTTGAGGGGCGTATCCACGCTTCTTTCAACATGTTATACTACCCAAGGTACCTGGTAGCACAATGGTCTGCGTCCTCGGCTCACAACCGAGGGACCCGGGTTTAATGCTCAGGCAGGACAGAAACGATTGGCCAGTTTCCTTTCACCTGATGCTTCTCTTCGCCCTGACAGTTTAATAGGTTTCCTGTCTGCGACAACGGGAATTACACCTACTCGCTAATCCATCGCTTCGCACGAATTTATATCCTCAAATCAAGTATTTTTTAAATCCAAATTAATTTAACATTATTAGTGCTCTAAAATCATAAAAAAATGTAGCCCTCTCGCTGTACTATTGGAGTTATAAATCAACACATTACGGCTGTCAATCAAACACCGTGAACATGCCGGTGGACATGACCTCCAGGTAAGATCACAGGTCAACAGAGGTCAACAGGTGATATAGCACTACAAAATAACATCCAGTAGCACTCTGGGTTTCGGCTTGACATTGGACTTGAGGCCTGTCAACTGTCCGAGGGTTACACAGGCCACGACACGAGCTTCCTGACCAACCACCAAATTATAACTAAACCGCTGAACGGTTCAGTTATAATTTGTAATAGTCTTCAGTAAATTACTGAAAAATTCAGTAATAGTCCAGGATTAAAATACCTGTGTGGACATATAACGTGCACAATATACAAGAAAAATGTATGAAGACACATATACGTTTGGTAAAATAATTTCAACTCCGAATAGTTTTTCATTCATATTTTCCGAATATTTTAATGGAAGTGTTGGTTTTTGAAGGGGAATACAAATGAATAAGAATCATAAAACAGGACACGAGGCAAATACGGACCACTGGGTTTAAACAAGGCTTCGACTGTTTGTGGAAAGTTCCGACTGATGTGGGGGACTTCGACTGCCTGCGGGGGACTTCGACTGCCTGTGAGGGACTCCGACTGCCTGTGGAGGACTCCGACTGCCTGTGGAGGACTCCGACTGCCTGTGGAGGACTCCGACTGCCTGTGGGGGGACTTCGACTGCCTGTGAGGGACTTCGACTGCTTGTGGGGGACTTCGACTGCCTGTGGAGGACTTCGACTGCCTGTGGGGGGACTTCGACTGCCTGTGGGGGGACTTCGACTGCCTGTGAGGGACTTCGACTGCCTGTGGAGGACTCCGACTGCTTGTGGGGGACTTCGACTGCCTGTGGGGGGACTTCGACTGCCTGTGGGGGACTTCGACTGCTTGTGGGGGACTCCGACTGCCTGTGGGGGACTCCGACTGCCTGTGGAGGACTCCGACTGCCTGTGGAGGACTCCGACTGCCTGTGGGGGACTTCGACTGCCTGTGGGGGACTTCGACTGCCTGTGGGGACTTCGACTGCCTGTGGGGGACTTCGACTGCCTGCGGGGGACTTCGACTGCTTGTGGAGGACTCCGACTGCCTGTGGAGGACTCCGACTGCCTGTGGGGGACTCCGACTGCCTGTGGGGGACTCCGGCTGCCTGTGGGGGACTCCGGCTGCCTGTGGGGGACTCCGGCTGCCTGTGGGGGACTCCGGCTGCCTGTGGAGGACTCCGGCTGCCTGTGGAGGACTCCGACTGCCTGTGGAGGACTCCGACTGCCTGTGGAGGACTCCGACTGCCTGTGGAGGACTCCGACTGCCTGTGGAGGAGAGGACTCCGACTGCCTGTGGGGGACTCCGACTGCCTGTGGGGGACTCCGACTGCCTGTGGGGGACTCCGACTGCCTGTGGGGGACTCCGACTGCCTGTGGGGGACTCCGACTGCCTGTGGGGGACTCCGACTGCCTGTGGAGGACTTCGACTGCCTGTGGGGGACTCCGACTGCCTGTGGGGGACTCCGACTGCCTGTGGGGGACTCCGACTGCCTGTGGGGGACTCCGACTGCCTGTGGAGGACTCCGACTGCCTGTGGAGGACTCCGACTGCCTGTGGGGGACTCCGACTGCCTGTGGGGGACTCCGACTGCCTGTGGGGGACTCCGACTGCCTGTGGGGGACTCCGACTGCCTGTGGGGGACTCCGACTGCCTGTGGGGGACTCCGACTGCCTGTGGGGGACTCCGACTGCCTGTGGAGGACTCCGACTGCCTGTGGGGGGACTCCGACTGCCTGTGGAGGACTCCGACTGCCTGTGGAGGACTCCGACTGCCTGTGGAGGACTCCGACTGCCTGTGGAGGACTTCGACTGCCTGTGGAGGACTCCGACTGCCTGTGGAGGACTCCGACTGCCTGTGGAGGACTTCGACTGCCTGTGGAGGACTCCGACTGCCTGTGGAGGACTCCGACTGCCTGTGGGGGACTCCGACTGCCTGTGGGGGGACTCCGACTGCCTGTGGAGGACTCCGACTGCCTGTGGAGGACTCCGACTGCCTGTGGAGGACTCCGACTGCCTGTGGAGGACTCCGACTGCCTGTGAGGGACTTCGACCCGTCTCTGTTTTTCTCTCCATCTGAACTTTCCAATAGCCTATTTCCATTAATAAATTGTCCACCTGATTTTTTTTTAAGCCAATAATATGGTTACAAATGCAGTAACCGTATTATTGCTTCGGTGCCGCAACACCCCCTTTAAAGTGCCAATTAAGGGAAGGAAACACACACACTGGTTCTATTATTCTCGCTCCAAACACTTCAGATGTTATCCAGCAACACACTGTCAGCAAGATTTCATACAAACAATTATTTTGGATTAAAATATCAGGACATACAAAGGAGTTTTTTTTATCGAAAGCGTGTGTGAGTTCTCACGAACGCCACATCTTGTTTTACCAACTCAAAACACTTAAAAAAAAGATACAAAACAATACAACTCAGAAACGATACACAAAAATCAAGAGATGAATTCTTATACATTGGCTTATGTTATAATATTGCACGATTTTATCAAGGAAACATTAAAGATTAATTATCTATACGATGAACTATATCAGCTTGCAGCCTTAAAGACGTTAATGTCAATTCTCTTAAAGATAATTTAATGTCGATAACTACTTGTGATAAGTGCGCATACATTACCCTAATAACGAGGCTTTAACGTGATTACTTGCTTGCTTCCGGACACCGCTGTAAGCCGGATGACAGCTATGATTGCATGGTAACTCCAGCACGCTTCTGTGCACTCAATGGTTACCCATTAACTCGTCCCTACGCTTGTGTGCACTCAATGGTTACCCATTAACGCGTCCCTACGCTTGTGTGTACTCAATGGTTACCCATTAACGCGTCCCTACGCTTGTGTGCACTCAATGGTTACCCATTAACGCGTCCCTACGCTTGTGTGTACTCAATGGTTACCCATTAACGCGTCCCTACGCTTGTGTGCACTCAATGGTTACCCATTAACGCGTCCCTACGCTTGTGTGTACTCAATGGTTACCCATTAACGCGTCCCTACGCTTGTGTGCACTCAATGGTTACCCATTAACGCGTCCCTACGCTTGTGTGTACTCAATGGTTACCCATTAACGCGTCCCTACGGTTGTGTGTACTCAATGGTTACCCATTAACGCGTCCCTACGCTTGTGTGCACTCAATGGTTACCCATTAACTCGTCCCTACGCTTGTGTGCACTCAATGGTTACCCATTAACGCGTCCCTACGCTTGTGTGCACTCAATGGTTACCCATTAACTCGTCCCTACGCTTGTGTGCACTCAATGGTTACCATTAACGCGTCCCTACGCTTGTGTGCACTCAATGGTTACCCTTAACTCGTCCCTACGCTTGTGTGCACTCAATGGTTACCCATTAACGCGTCCCTACGCTTGTGTGCACTCAATGGTTACCCATTAACTCGTCCCTACGCTTGTGTGCACTCAATGGTTACCCATTAACGCGTCCCTACGCTTGTGTGCACTCAATGGTTACCCATTAACTCGTCCCTACGCTTGTGTGCACTCAATGGTTACCCATTAACTCGTCCCTACGCTTGTGTGCACTCAATGGTTACCCATTAACGCGTCCCTACGCTTGTGTGCACTCAATGGTTACCCATTAACTCGTCCCTACGCTTGTGTGTACTGAATTATCCACCATCTGACACACAACTAATTACCGGAATACGCAACAGATAATTTTTACTGTCAAAGTCACAAAACACAATTATAAACACCGCCAAGTGGTGCTTTCAGTAATGAGTTAATCCCTGAAAAACATCAAGTGAAAAACGACCGGGATGAGGGGAGTAAGGGGGGTGTGAGGGCGTGTTTGGGGGAGTGGATGGGGTGTTAGGGGGGTGGGAAGGGGTGTTAGGGGGGTGATAAGGGGTGTTAGGGGGTGAGAAGGGGTGTTAGGGGGGTGATAAGGGTGTTAGGGGTGATAAGGGGTGTTAGGGGGTGATAAGGGGTGTTAGGGGGGTGATAAGGGGTGTTAGGGGGGTGATAAGGGGTGTTAGGGGGGTGATAAGGTGATAAGGGGTGTTAGGGGGGTGATAAGGGGTGTTAGGGGGGTGATAAGGGGTGTTAGGGGGTGTTAGCGAGTGTGAGGGGGGGGAGTCTGGGGATTCAATAACAGTTCCACCAACTGAAGCGTCGGAAATATTTCCTGCTGAAAATAAATACCAAACTTGACCAATAGCGTGAGTATCGAGCAAGTCTTGCCAGCGTGTGTGTGCACAGCGTCTCAAGTCCGGTGTCCAAGGCGCTTGGAGAAGGTGGCGGCGAGGAAGAAGATGAGGGAACAGTCTCTCTGGAAGAGTGTGAGGTTTGGGAGTGAGGAGGATGGAACGT